ATGGTGAGAGTACCTCACGGGGGCCAACACTCTGTTCGGTTGCGAGGGCTAGGAAACTTCTGTAACAGGGATGTACGGGATTTCTAGCTTATATCTCAGATACGATGGTTAAGACCTCGATGGATGTAGGCAGTGTGTCGAGGGATATCTTTCCCGAGGAGTTACCAGGAGTGCCTCCAGAGAGGTAGGTGGATTACTGCATTGACATAGTGCCTGGTGTCGCGCCGATAGCAAAGGCACCATACTGGCTGGCACTCCCCGAGATGCAGAAGTTATATGTGCAGCTTCAGGAGCTGCTAGACCGAGGTTTCATCCGTCCAAGCAATTCTCCATGGGGAGCACCGATCCTGCTCGTGAAAAAGAAGGATGGATCACACAGGATGTGTATTAATTACCGGGAGTAGAATAAGCTAACGGTGAAGAACCGTTATCCGTTTCCGAGGATCGATGATTTTTTCGATCAGCTGCAGGGTGCGTCTTGGTTTTCCAAGATCAACCGTCGGTTGGGGTACCAACAGATGAGGATTCGGGATGAGGATATACCGAAGACATCTTTCAGGACTCGATATGGGCATTATGAGTTTGTGGTGATGCCATTTGGGCTCACCAATGCCCCCAACAACGTTCATGGATCTCATGAACAGGGCGTGTAGACCGATGTTGGATCGTTCGATGATCGTTTTTATTGATGATATCTTGGTCTACTCTAAGACCAAGGAGCAACACGAGCAGCATCTGAGGGAGGTATCGAAGACCCTGAGGGCAGAGAGGCTATATGCCAAGTTCTCCAAGTGTAACTTTTGGCTGCGAGAGGTACAATTTTTGGGGCACATCATCAACCAGGAGGGCATTTCGGTTGATCCAGCCAAGGTTGAGGCAGTGATGTTGTGGGAAGTACCGAAGAATGCATCTGAGATTCGTAGCTTCTTGGGTTTAGCGGGCTATTATCGAAGATTTATCCAAGATTTATCCAAGATTGTTGTGTCATTGACCTACTTGACCAAGAAGAATGTGACATTCCAGTTGGGCACGGATCAACAGTTGGCGTTTGAGACCCTGAGACGGAGGTTATGCGAGGCTCCGATCCTAGTACTACCTGAGGTGTTAGACGATTTAGTAGTTTACTATGATGCATCGATCTCAGGATTAGGTACGATGATGATACATAAGGGGCACGTGATAACTTACACCTCGAGGCAGTTGAAGCCTCATGTGGCGAATTACCCCACTTGTGAACTGGAATTGGGGGCAGTGGTGTTCGCCCTCAAGATCTGGAGGTACTACTTGTATGGAGTGAGGTGCACCATATATAATGATCACAAGAGCTTCAAGTATTTAATGGACCATCAAAACCTCAACATGCGACAGAGGAGGTGGTTGGATGTATTGAAGGATTATGATTGTGAGATTCTATATCATCCTGGGAAGCCCAACGTAGTGGTCGATGCATTAAGCCACAAGACGGAAGGGTCGCTGATTGGGAGCATTTTTATAAGGATGACAGTGATCTCTCCATTGCTGGATATGATCAATGAGGCCCAGGTGGAGGGTGTGAAGAAGGAGAATTGGAAGATAGAGCATATTCAAGGACAATATCCTTTGTTTGTTAAGGATAGTCGTGGCCTCTTAACACAATGTGGCCGAGTGTGGGTGTTGCTGACTGGAGGAGTGAGGCAAAAGATATTAGAGGAGGCACACAAGTCCATGTTCTATATACATCTAAGGGCTACAAAAATGTATATGGACTTGAGACTAGTTATTGGTGGCCCTGCAGGAAATGGGAGATCACTTGGTTTGTCGAGCAGTGCTTGACTTGCAGGAAGGTCAAGGCCGAGCATCAGCAACCTCATGGTAAGGTTCAGCCGCTACCTATTCCCATGTGGAAGTAGGAAGATATCACTATGGACTTCATTACGAAGTTACCAAGGACGACAAGGGGTGTGGACGCCATATGGGTAATCGTGGATAGATTAACGAAGAGTGCCCACTTCATTCCAATTTCTAAGAGTATATCCGCTGAAAAGTTGGTAGATATTTATGTGCGGGAGGTGGTGACTAGACACGGGGTGCCAGTGTCAGTAGTCTCTGATAGGGATGTTCGGTTTACATCCTGGTTCTGGAAGAAGTTCCACAAGGAAATGGGCACTCAGCTACATTTTAGTACGACATACCACCCCCAGATAGATGGCCAAAGTGAAAGGACGATCCCGACACCAGAATATATGTTGTGAGCATGTGTGCTAGATTTTGGAGGAAGTTGGGATACGTACCTCCCAATGGCATAGTTTTCGTACAATAACAGCTACCATGCCAGTATCGAACGACCTCCATTCGATATTTTGTATGGTAGGAGATACAGGACTCCGGTTTATTAGGGACAGGTAAGCCATCGGGTCATGAGGATTAATGAGGTAGTGCTCAAGACTAACGGGCTGATTCAGTAGGTGCGCGACCGTGAGTCGTGCAAAGCCGCCAGAAGAATTATGTTGATCGCTGGCGATCGGATCTTGAGTTCCAGGTGGGGAACCTTGTGCTCCTGAAAGTGTCACCAAGGAAGAGAGTTATCAGGTTTTGAAAGAGGGGTAAATTAGGGCCATGATATAGAGGCCCTTTCAGGATTTCGGCCCGGGTAGGCAAGGTGGCATATCGCTTGGAGCTGCCGGATGAGTTGAGCCAAATTCACAACACATTCCATGTATCACAACTTTGGAAGTGTGTCACTGACGAGGCAGCAGTCGTTTCTTTGAACAACATACAGGTGGATGAGAACCTGAACTACATTAAGCGGCCTGTTGCGATTCTAGATAGGAAGACCAAGGCCCTTCTGAACAAGGAAGTGAAGCTGGTGAAGGTGTAATGGCAGCACCGAAGGGGCTCCGAATGGACATGGGAACCGGAGGATGAGATGCAAGACCACTACTCGGATTTGTTTGGATCAGCATACTTCGAGGACGAAGTCTAGTTCAAGTTGGGGAGATTTGTAACACCTATTCCAGGTATTACTTAAATGATTAATTTTTAAGGTTTTGTGCATGGTCTAGGCAAGTTGGGAGTCCAACTCTTCGAGTAGAGATATTTTATGGATGCGGGATCGGCACCTACTCAACGAGTCGGAGGGTTAACTCGACGAGTAGGAGCTGTTAAGAGAAACCCTAATTTTTAAGGGTTTGCACCCTATTTAAAGAGCATAACCTGCCCTTGTGCCCCCCCCCCTTAGCACCTTATTACCTAGAGAATAGAGTTTTTGGCCGTGAACCCCTCTTGAGTGAGAGAAATATCCTTTGTGAGCAATTTTAGGAGTTTTTTTGAATGGTTTTTGAGCTTGAAGAAGAAGGAGACAGGAGAAGAATAGTAGATTCAACATCTACTTCATATTGGCCACCATCCTAAGGTATAAAGTCGTAACCTTGACCTTTAGTTGTTTAGATCTCTCTTCTTGAAAGTAAATGTCCATTTTGGGTAAATGGAGTCAAGCTTAGATCCGGTTTTATCACAAGGATATGGTTCTAGATCTAGACCTCCTTAGGTCCCCAATGGCATAAAGTTGCTTCCTTTATGTAATTTAGCCCCATTCAGTGTACAAGAACCTTGTAAGAAGCTTAGTTTTGAAGATATAGCCTTGGAGGACCTTGCATGCACGCAAAATTTGCAACTTTACGTGGTATCTGCACTAGGAGAAGTTGGATATGAAGTTTGGGACCTTAGATCCCACTGAAAAGGGTTGAACTTGGAGAGGACTGAAGGAACTCGTTGAGTCACTTGGCTGACTCAACGAGTCGAGTAAGGTTTACTCATTTTCGGTTGACAGGAGTTTTCAGTTGTCATGATTTTTCGGGTCAGGAGTTTTCGGTTGGCATGAGTTTTTGGCTGCATGAGTTTCACGGGAGACTCGGCGAGTCGATGACTAACTCGAGAGGAACTCGACGAGTCACTAGATGCACTCGACGAGTTGAGGTCAACATGGACTGTTGACCTTGACTTTGACCAAGGTTGACCATGGTGGACTTTGAGGATAATTATTGGGATGATGACAAGTTAATCACATGATAATTATAGGCAGTCGATTGGAGCAGCACGTGGAGCATATCTGATTCTAACTTGTCAGTTCAGCATTCGAGAGGTGAGTCTTCTCACCATACCAATGGGTCTAAGGCACCAAAGCCGGCCCATTTTATGATATATGTGTACACTAGCTCTAGTAAAGGTATGTGGTGTGATATTTAGCCTTATGTTAAGTCGTATGCTAGTGATTATGTTATGTTTGCTTGAAAGACCATGGGGGAGCCCATGACACTTGGATGCACTACTAGAAAAACAGCCTTTTACGACGCTCATTGCGCGTCGTAAAAGGCTCAAACAACGCGCAAATGCGTGTCAAGGAAGGCCCTGTCATAAAGAGAGACGACGCGCTTTTGTGTGTCGTCTATAGACGACGCGCATTTATGACGCTCATTTACGATGCGCAATTACAACGTGCATTTACGACATGCAATGTGTATCAAGGAAGGCCCTGTCATAAAGAAAGACAACACGCATTCATGTGTCGTAACCTTACGACGCGTGTGTTAATGACACGCAATGCGTATCAAGAAAGCCCCTGTCAAGAAAGGCCATGTCATAAATGAAGATGACACACATTTTTGCGTATCATAATTTTAAATGTTTAAAAAAAATTATTTATAGATTTACTAATTTTCAAATTAAATAATACATTAAAAATCTCATAATTCAAAATAAAATACCATAAATAACAAAGATAATTCATTTCACTAATATGTCAAATACAAATAATTATTCCAATAGTGAGTAAATGTTATAAAAAATGAACTCATTTATATACAATTGCATTATCTAGCTTACTATATGCCAACAACTCTCTGTGTGTTTACTTTTGCTTGAGTCTCGTTTCCTCCAAAGCTTCTAGCCATGCCAAAATATGATATCTTAGGGTTCATGTCCAAATCAAGTAAAACATTGCTAGCTTAAATTCATCAAGTCATTGGCGTGAAGTCTTAGATAGTAGCTTAACTGCAATCTCCAATCCTTCTAGCAGACCTTAAAGATCATTATTGGCTATGTAGCAGGATCAACCTGCAATCTCTTTTCTGCCTTCTTATTACTTGCAACATCTTTTGCCTGTTTGACCAAGGTTGTTCCTTCAGCAGCAACATGCTGCATTGCGTCAAAAAGATAAAAACAGATGACAACAAATACAAATAACTACATTCTACTTAAAAAAAATAGAATCCAACTCCTAAATCACAAACCTGTTTAAACATACTAGAGACAGAATCCAATCCATGGGGTATTTTTGGAAAATAGTCTGAACATTCTTGAAAAATCATCAACCTGCAAGTGAAGGGTAGAAAGGGAAGAAACAAATGTTCACAACCAGTAAGAAATCTAAACACTAGAAGTTTCACAGTGATTGTTGATTCCTATAAACTCAAATGTGAGATGAGAGGCTTGTTCACAACCAGTAAGAAATACTAAGTAGAAAGAAACAAATTGATGATATTACCTGGTCAAGGAGGAAAACGACAAGAAATGGTACATAGAAAATATATATAAGTATGAACTAGGAAGTTACTAGGGTTTACATTTCAGGACTAAAGTTTCAAGCTTTACAGTTCTGTTCCTTCTCAACACATCAAACATGGTTGACATGTTCTTATCGGTGTTTGTTTCCTCTTCTGTAACACTTGAAGCAAGCTACAAAAATCCAATAGAAAGTACACGTGTTTATATGATGATGTGAGTGAGGAGAGAAAAAGTGATATACCATTGTTTTTGGTTTCTTTGATTTGTGTGACCCTTGCACTTGAATCAAGAGATGCAAACACCAAGGCTCTGTATTACAAAAAAACAACAAACTTTCTTATATAAAAAAAATACGGGTATGGAAAGGTTAAAGGTATGAAGTCTGAATTAAAGAATTTATAAAGAAAGAAAGAGAGGGAACCTTGAATCTTGTGAGAAGGCTAGGGTTGTAACAAGGCCAAGATGTGCTTTCTTCACTACACTATGCACCCTCAGATTCACCCTTCTACAATTCCATACCTTTCGTGAGAACATACCAATCCTTTCTGAAGAATGATCTCTTTCTTGTGTCCCTTACTGCATTTCAAAATACAAGATTGTAAGCCAAGTAGAGACAAGAGAGAGTATTAATATAAGTATTAACTTTTTACAAATGTGCCCTCGTTTATTTATTTCCTTTTATATCCCCAAGTACACACATGGTGATTTTCTATTTTATTTTTATGAAAATCAAAGATTCAGATAGACCTGATACCACCACCACCTGCAGGTCCGATTTTGTACAAAGCAATGAAGTTTAGGTGAATTGAATGGCACGTTTCTCTTCATCAAATAATCCATTCGTTCTCAATCGTATGTCTTAAGGCTGATTGCCTTAAGGCTGTGAACTCCGATTACATAAGACATTACACACTTACTAGTACCTGGATGTACTTTTTCCATCACCTGATTAACGAAAATCATACTTAAAACTAAGACATTACACACTTACACACTTACAATGGCTGCAATGAAACGTCTTGAAAATCTATCACCTAATTAACGAAAATCATACTTAAAACTAATTCTAATATCTTTGAACTTAGAGTGAATTACATTTTAGGTCTCTTGAGTATAGTTTATTTTTGAAATTTTGGTCCTAAAAAGTTTTTGTTCACTAACACCATCTAGAAGATATTGGTCGGCAGCTCTAAGGAGATCATGGGCTATTCTCAAATCCACCTCCACTGATCCAGTGTAAATGCACCTCATCATTTTCTCAAATGTCTCCCAATATCTTTTTCATCTCTCTCCTAGAATGCAACCAAACCACCACATTCATCATCATCATTCATAAACACATATGATACTATATGTTTCTAGTTTGATACTAACCCTATAACCACCATCAAACATTGCCCGAAACGCATCAGAAGAAGCAAGCAGGCAGATTCTATGAGCATAAAACCTTTTGCCTGATATCATACCAAATAAATAAACTGTCAGCCACATCCGTTACTTAATTTTTACTTTTTTAAAAAACATATCATATATCATATGTGTACCCTCAATCATTAAAGTTACATCAGAAAGTGTAGGGTTGTTCACATACTGCTCACCCAAATATACCTGCAATGCAAAATTACAAATGCAACAACAATTATTACATCAACAAGTGTATGCTTGCTTGGAATTTATTAACTAAAAGAGTAAATTGCATTTTTTTTTGTCTCAGCATGTAGCTGATTTTTTTTTAATTCCCAAAAACTTCTATTAGAATTTTGGTCCATACATGTTTCAAGTAAAATGACTTTCTAGGACCAAATATACAAAATTCAGCTACTCGTAGGGGCCAAAGATAGTCATTTACTTGGAACAGTAAGAACCACAAGCAAAGATCAAAATCGAAAGCTCAGGGGCCACATATATTATTTTTAATTATAATTTGTTGTTAATGAAATTTTGGAGATATTAGATTAACTATTTCAGACCATTGATGCAAATCTCAGCTGCCTTTCCTCAATCTGCCACTCCTTGATGATATCCGGTTGTCCATCCGATCAAACAAAGAGCGATACTGATGACAATTGACTTTTCAAATCATAAAAACAACATTGGAATCTAAATAACTATAAGAAAAATCATCAGACTGAATGGATGATGATGTAGGTTTGGATACATAAAGTCTATTTCTTTTCTGTTTTACCCTTACATACGAAAAAACAAATTTCACACATGAGGGTGGAAAAAAGAAGGTTAAAGGGGTTGGTGTCTTAATACATTAACTTGGCTTAACACATGAGGCCATTTTGTCCATATTAAGTCAAACAGAAACAGCCCCTAAGTTTTAATATAACAAAAGCCATTAAACAACTACAAGTACCATAACAAAAAGTAGCATACCTTTTGTTCCATAACCTGCTGTAACCCTTAAAAGGCAACCAAGATCAATGCACCCATCAGCATCCATGCAATTGTAGCACCAACTCCTAGAAATATTTATTTATTAATCAGTAATCACACCTCTTTAATAAGTAGTGTGTAATCTACTAACGATGATATGAATATCCAGTAATCTGCTACAAAACTTCGTATCCACCCTGTAACAATTTTATAATCAGATCCCATAAAATCAAAATAAAAGACCACAAAAAGAAAATATTTTAAATACTTATTAATTATTTATCATTTACCTGAAGTATTACAGTCCAACAAGGAAAAAGAAGTCCACACTTTTGAGAAATCGCCTCATCCAGGTCTAGGACTCCCTGTTACAAACATTATATTTAACAAGTAAGGGCAAATTTGTAAAAAATCAGGGCCTATCAAATAAATGAATAAAAATTATAATTAGCATTGCTAGTCACATAACATAAACATCATAAGGTGAAACTATTAACAAATTTGGGTTTAGGGTTTTGATCAAAATTAAGATTGAGGAATTCAGAAAACTTGGCACATACCTGCTAAATCAGCCAGGAGAGCACGAGTGGGGCCCTGAAATTATTAAAATTGTTACTTGAATTTAAAATAATGGTTTAAAACACAAGTTATTTTTTAAATGATCTTTTTATAAATTGTTACATGAACGGTGTTATTAGCAAGATCCAACATCCAGAAACCTATGATGAAAACAAAAGTTGCCCTTGTTAGTGTACCTTAATTCATATGATAAATCTAAATCAAAAAGCTAAATCAAATACCATTATTGCTACTTTTGAGAATGGATCAGTGGAGGTGGATTTGAGAATAGCCCAGGATCTCCTTGGAGCTGCCGACCAATATCTTCTATAATGGGATAAAAGTGGTTTAAGAATCAAAATGCTTCTTTTGAGCTTTTGTTCACTAGCACAATTAGAACCTGAAGTTGTAATAAAATGACCTGCAATCAAATAAGTAAATCAAGAAATGAAACAATAAAAAGGATACTGAATAAAAATAAAAAATATATATATTGAATAAAAAGGACCAAATAACATGAGGAAGTAAGTCGATAATCAGAAAATGAATATTCTTTGTCACATATATTGAATAAAAATTAAAAATTTTGTTTTAAGCATTTTACCGAACAGTTGGTGTGCAATATATATATATATATATATATATATATATATATATATATATATATATATATATATAGGACATTACTGAAGTGGATTGACAAATAAATGAGAAAATATGACCATTTTTGTGTAAAGTGAGGACGTAACAAAAATGTGAAACTGCAACAGGTACTATTTGAACCTGGTGAACATGATAGAAGGCGTTATCCAAACAGCAACAGTAGTGGTGTGGTTGAATGCCGGCCCCGGCAATAAATAGTTCACTGAAAAAATTGGGTTGACTTTATCTCAGATGATTGTTAAACCCACTAGACCCTAAAGGAATTATCACAATGGAAAGAACATCAACAGATAATGTGTTTTTTTCCCAATAAGCCTTAAATAACACATATCTATATGGGTTTAGAGAAAGGATAACGATACCTGAAGAAAAAATGGAGAGCTTAAGAAGTTGACTTCCCATAAACAAACAGGTATCCCAATGAAGACCCTCCACTTGGTCATGCTCAAATCACTTACAGCCTAAAATGTTTAAAAAAAAATGCCAGAAACTTGATAAAATAAAGTCATAAAATTTGTCCTTGGATGTAAAAATTAACATCGCAGCTAGTCTTCAAAACAGCTATTTAGAAAAAAAAAAAAAATTAATTCCAATAGCCACAAGTTATCCATATCTTCCTATGTGGTGAAGGGGAACACAACACCTATTTTCTACAAAATACGAATTAAAGTTACATACTCAATCAATAATTAAACTTTCCTAAGATGCATAGACCTTAAATTCATGATGGATAACACCAAAGTCATAATTCCTTTCACAAAAGTTGTCGAATTAAGAAAATTAGATAGGGTTTCATTTTGTGATTGGTATCCATTGAAGAAAATATAGGTACCTCTTCAGGATTGGGAACCATACCTTGATTTATGGAACAAAAAAAGTTGAAGCTTGATTGAGCGACAACAACCAAAAGTCCAAATCCTTAGAAGATGATGGTGTTGTTCTGGTGTTGAAGGTGGAAGTGGTTATCTGACGGTGGGCAAATCGAAACCCACTCTCGAAATCTCTCCTAATTTTAACGTGCCCTCAATAAAATAAAATAAAAAGCTTTAATGCTTCAAAATCGTAATTGTCACTCTACTTAAAAACCCTAAAAATTCCCATTGCCGATTTTTATAATGAAAATCTGAAGATGATCAGACGGGGTGGTTCAAAGGGATCAGGCGGTCGACTCATCCTCCCACCTTCATTCCTCCCCAATCAACCTTCGTCTGTAGTTAACTTCACCGGAGCAGCTATCTGCAAGATTTAAGGCATGAAATTGATCTTCATTGAGGTGAGACGGTGAGAAAGAAAATTTTAAGCCTGATTGCCAATAAAAAGATGGAAAATTGAGGTGCTTATCTGATGGAACTCCGTTTGCTATAAAGAGATAATTGTTGTGATAATCAAAGATGGAGAGAAGAGGGTCGAAGGTACATGATAAGCAGAAATGAGATACTACAATCGATTTGAAGATGAAAATAATAGGGTGGAAGCTTGGCCGCTAGAGAAGTACCAGTGGTCAACGGAAAAGGTGAGGAACGAGATGTTGTATGAGACCGATAAGAAGGAGGTCAGGAGTAGCGGATAAGTGGATCGGAGAGGAGAGAGAAGGAGAGAGAGGGGAGAGTCGATTGGGAAGATGAAAGATAGAAAGAAGGTAGAAGGCGGGTTTTCAAAATTTTGGGGATTTCGTTTCCCCCTGTCTACTTCCTAAACGCGCGTTTCATTACAATTATAAAGCGACACTTATAGAGGGTGCGCATTTAAGATACAGCGCCCTCCGTGTTTTTAATTTTTTTTCTTATGATACTAATTTAAGGGCGCGCAATAATGCGTGATCTAAATCCTTAAATTTTTTGAAGAGATGTCACTTTTTTAATGTCACTCTCTTTTGCGTAACATAAATTAATGAGTGTCGTGGTTTTCGCGTCGTTAAAGGGCCTTTTTCTTGTAGTGATGTAAGACCATGTAAGGGAGCCTATGGTTGGCTAGCAGGGAAAGACCATGGGGGGAGCCCATCACACTTAGGTGTAAGACCATGTAGGGGAGCCCATGGCACCCTTTTACAGGGACATATGGTAAAGATAGCTTTTGTAGCTAATGCTATATGTGGTAGAGATAGCTTTTATAGCTAACGTTATATGATAGAGGTAGCTTTATAGCTAATATGATATGTGCTATGTGGCTTGTGTGTGGGGTATGCTCCGGGGGAACTTACTAAGCATTAGCTTACAGTTTATGGATTTGTTTCAAGTACATTTGAGCCCAAGGGAAAGGGAAATGCTTGACGATGCGGCATGCACTCTCTCTCAGGTGTTTTATGGGACACTCTGATATTTTGAAATAAATTAGTAACCAATAGGGTTTTGAAAACAGTTATGACTGATTTTCGTGGATGATGGAATCGTAATTTGGGTAATTAAAAATGAAAAATTTATTTTGAAAATTCTGGGTTGTTACACTTGAACCATTTTCCCGCATTTCCCGTTAGGGTGCAGCGAAAATAGGTGTAGGTGAAGCGACGATCCATCTTAAGAGATGTCATCGTCCATCCATAGTTATCGACGTGGTCATCTGGGTTAGAAGTGTTGTCGTATTTCGGCATGTTCAGTATCATCGCAGTGTATGGGATCTCATATTTTAGTAGTTCATGGATGAAATTAGAGCTTGCACTTCGCATGGTGTTGTCCATTTACGAGTAAGACATACCACCATAGGCAATATGCTGTTGCGCCTGATAGGGGCTCGCGTACATCTGGTTGTACATGGATACCGATGACATGTACTGTTGATATTTTTGCAAGTTTGGTTGTGACCCAAATTACTGAATGCATAGGGTCGTTTTGGGTGAACTATGTATAGGTTTGCTCCCGTGTACTGTTGTGCGGACGAGCTGAATGGTTGAGCAATCGCCATGAAAGGGGTGAATTTTGGTACTATTGAGAAATGGGCGCCAAGTCCACATAAGTTGGATCCGTGGTTGATCGAGGTTTGTATGCATGTGACTTGTGGCTGAGACACTTCTAGGATTAGACCTTGAGCCTATTGTATGAACCTGTTGAACACTGATGGTTGTTGTATGAACAGAGGCACGTAGGGAATGCTTGCCATGGCGGCGTGTGGGTAGATCATCGATGAATATTGTGGTTGTGGTTAAATATTGTGAGGAATCCAGGTTTTGGTATGCGAACTATGTGGAAATGATTGTTTCCTAGGAACATGTATCCCTGTTTGTTGTGTTGCGACAATATGTGGATTGGTGGTTAGGCATAACTGCTTGCTGAGATGGGTTAACTATTGGACGTCATAGAATGGATATGTAGGCTGTTGTAGTTTCAGTTGCAGAACTGGATGGTGCCTGTGAAACTGGCGTGCGATTTGAAGCATGTTCTTCTTGGATGGAAACTTGACCTCTGTCTAACAGCTGCATTGGACGTATCGGGCTTTTCTCCGCTACCGCGACATCACCGGAATTTCGCCTACCATCTTTGCTCTTTGTTTTTTCTTTGTGGATGTATCATTCTGGAGATACGTCCGGATGACGCCAAATATTATGATATGACGGAGATGGTAGGATTAAGATCAAGGGTGGGCGTTGAGTTGGTTCCTTCTTCTGATATGACAGTACAAAGAAGAGAAATGATCGTTAAACAACATCCGGGAGTGGCTCCCAAGACAAAGCTCCGACGATCAAGTTAGAATTGATTCTGGGAGAAGATAGAGAATGTCTGAGAGAAAAAGAGTCTAGTCCCCTTCTACGTAGGGAAGAAGGGTCCTTTTATACCTGATCGGGAGGCACATGCCTCCTAACTGATTCTGTTGAGCCTTCCCTCATGAGACATGATGTGGCAGATCTGTATTGAAGGATCCTTTGTCACATCTTTCTATCTCGTTCCCCCATTGACTAGGGGGGAATCTTCAATATGATGATGATCATGGTTTTCATTAGATAGGTAAGTGGAGCTCTCTGATTGGCTCCACGTTTCGCCAGGATATTTCTTATGCGGAGAAGGGAGTAAGATACAGTTATGCCCCTTAACCGCTATACCAGTGAGTCCATACAGGCAGAGGCCCGACTTTGGCCTAAGAGTGGGTAAGACCAGACTCTAACTAGGCAAAGTTTGGCGCTAGTTTGACTTTTCATTTATAACTTTTTTCCTGAGGGATACGTTAACATGTTAAATGCTAACAGAGTAAGCCGGAAGGACTAAACATCAAAAGTTTTGAAACCACACGGACGATCCGTGAGGTTTTTGAAAATTAGGGACCAAACTTCCAACTTCCGAAAACCACAAAGACCATTTTTGAAGTTTTGTCTTTTTTATATAACATGTTGGATTCAACGAAAACCAGTTTCAAACTAATCTTTAGTTAAAGGGCCAAATTATATACAAAACTAATGACTGTGGTGGTTTGCTAAAAATTGCATGTTTGGTCTTTATCTTTTTTTTTTTTCACTCAAACTGTCTATAATATATTATTTTGTTGCGATTTTAGCCTCTTACAGAGATTAAAAGACTATGTTCTCCTTTCTATTTTCTTTTTTCAACTTTTAGTATTATTTATTATTTATTGATTATAAAAATATATATATATATATATATATACATGAGGCCTACCTTCAACCCTTATCCCACCTATCTTACCCTCTTCAGCTTACTACCGCTGGAGATATCGATGGAGCCACTGGAAACACCGACGGGGCCATCGAAAGCACCACCAAAGCCCACTAAAAACCCATGGATCTCCGTATACTCCTCCTATGTCCCTTCTCTCTTCCTGCTACTTCTTTCTACTCCATCTCTCTCGCACGAAATCACCACCATTGCCATTGTTATTATGTAAATGATTTATTGTCGATGTTTATGTACTTTGTCTTCCACTACTTGAGTTCCCTCTACTCCATTGATTTCTATATTCGTCGTTGCTTCTCTCTACCGCTTATTAGCATCATCTTCTTTAGAGGTGGATCTGCCCTAAGGAGACGGATCTTAAGACGATGGGGAAGACGACATCTCTAGAAACGGATCTGAAGACGATGAAGCTACTTCACGTCATCGAGTGTTTACGCAGCGGTCAACTTCTTCTCAACTTCAACCACAACATCTCCTTCATTGAAATCTGGACCACCATCATCTCCATCGAAAACCTTCTGTCTGCCACCATCTCCACTGAAATCCGGACCACCATCATCACAAAGAGTTTCGTTCCCCTTTAACCCCGTTTTATCATCGATTTTAGGTTAGGTTTGTGTTTTGGGCTTTGATTTCCAGATTTGGTTTTGATTTCAGTTAGGTTTTGATTTCACTATTTGGAATTTGAATTTGGTTAGATTTATTATTTTAGAGTTTGATGTTGGTATGTTTATGATTTATGTTTTCTTGTTTGATTTCTGGTGATGGATGTTGGTGAAGTTGGAATCGGTGGGTGGTAGTTGTCGGCGCTAATGGTGGTTGTTGGTGGCTAATGGTGGTTGTGTTCCAAGTGAGAGTATGAGTGGGTCCTATATGTTTGCAATCATGTAATTGATTTTCTTAATTAATAAATAATAAAAAAACTAAAAAAGAAATTTACCAAGGGAAATAAAGTCTTTTCATGTTGATGAGGGATAAAAAATGCAACAAAATTAAACTATGAAGACTATCTGAGTGCAAAAAAAGGTATGAAACGAACACATAATTTTTACTTAACCAGAAACGATTTCAGTAATTTGTTAATTTGGAGTGGAACCGATTTCTACAAAAATGGTTAGGGGAAATATTAAAAAATGATTAAAAAAATACTAACAAAGCCCAATAATATGTTTAAGTACAAAATACAAATAAGTCTAAAATACATGTTAAAAGTCCAATAGTACCGATAAAAAAACTAACAATAAAATAAAATAAAATAAATCTATTCTATATCTATTTATATATACTATCTAATAAGTGTCGTGTGATATTTTTTCAGAATTTGATCTAGAGTTTGATTCTAATGATCTCATATGACATTCTTAAAAATTCATTCACAATTAATATTTAAAAAATATATATACATATCAATATTCATATTTTAAATTTTAGAAACGAAACCAAGATTTAAAATTTGAAATTATTAATCATCACATTTTACATACTTAATCTCTTATAATAAATATAATATCATCCTTCTTTTTATATCTAAAATGTCATCAATCTTAAGCAAAAAAAGTTCACATGCTCATGTATTAACTCCAAAGTTACAACTTAAGTCCGATCTCTTATTATATTTGAAAAACATAATTATACACAAATCATATAATTTTTTTTTTTTTGTTGAAGTAACGAATTAATATATATATATATATATATATATATATATATATATATATATATATATATATATATATATATATATATATATATATATATATGGGAAAAATAAATATACCCTTAAGGATATATATAAGCTTAGGTACCCAAACCCACCATAATATATCATTTTGTTTGATATATTGATTATAAAGTTCTTAAACTTTAATTCCTAACTTGATTTAATTTCAAGATTTTCAAAATTTCACTATTATCTTTTTCTTAAATCACATATTTTTGCTGAACACCTAGTAGACTATATATATTATAGTTGAAAATGAAAATTATGTAGAGGAAGATAAATGTGAAATTTATAAAAATCTTGAACGTAAATCAGGTTAGAAGTTAAATTATAAGAATATTGGACAATTATAATTTATATATATGATGTAAAACGACGTAGTATGGTGAGTTTGGGTACCTAAGTTTATATACTCTTAAGGGTATATTGACTTTTATATATATATATATATATATATATATATATATATATATATATATATATATATATATATATATATATATTATTAAAAATATTGTATCTTTCTTGAAAATTAAGAGGTACAAATATATAAACACAATGTACAACTAGCTAAAACATACTTCTTTTTAAAACGAAAATTCTATTAAATTAATGTAGTTTCCATCTTTATTCCTTTAATCTCGATCACTCCTAATTTTCCTCACATTTAGGGTTCACATACTTATACATATATCTTCTTTACCAAAAAGCCTAAATCCCTCTTCCACGCCTCTTTTTGTAAAATTTAAAATATCTAAATCCATTTAACACTTCTGCCGCCATGCTCCACCATCGATATTGCCTTATTATTGATATATTGTAATCACTCATATATTTCTTCGTCTATCTCTCTATTTCTAGCGCATGTTCACTTTCTACAGTTTCTACGATCTCGTGACCAACTACGAGTTCATCTCCCTGCTCTACGTTGGGGCAATTCCTGGTTAAAAGTATTTCTCTGTTTATGATATCTTAAACATATAATTTGTTTTTGACATGCCTGGAAAGGTTTTTTTTAATACATTGTATCTTGATCTTTGTTTTGTTGTTCATGATTTTTTTGATGATTGCAAAATGACGACTTATTTGACAAATTTTTGATTTATGTGTGTATTGTTTGTCCAACAAACCTTATAAACTCAGGGTAACCATTACACTACCTGATATTTTGTTTAGTTTATTTTCTATTTTTCCTTTTCTTTTTTATTAATTTACTAAATTTAGGGATCGGGTATAGTGGAAATGTTGGTCAATTGTTTTCCATTTCTCTTTGTTTGCTTTTTAGACATGGAATATCTAATATTAGAAGTCCTTGTTAGGGACCGC